ACCATACGCAAAAGCTGATTGACATTTTAAATGTTGTTTAACAAGGATCATTCAAGTTATCGGAGTTCGATGGTATGGAATCTTGATTTGCATTTCTGTCACCGCGTTAACCTTTTGGCTCAAAAATATAATCTAGCAAAATCCTAATTTATTGGGAATAACGCTTAGTTTTTATGTACCGCTACCTTTAATCGCTAAATTAACAGAGAAGTAAAGAGTCGAAAAGTTTGATTTGGTACTCCATGTTTATGTTAGGGAAGTTGCATTTTATGACTGCAAGAATCACTTTAGAATTTTCTTTAGCTGCCAATGCTTGAATCGTGATTCCAAAGCTATAAACGTCATTCTTCTCTGTTAACTGTCCATGGAGAGCATATTTCGGTGCCAAATATCCATATGTTCCACCCACTCTTGTAGTTAGATGAGACTGGTCTTCTGTACTTTGCTTTAATCTGCCACTTTTGCTTTCATGTCATCAACTTATTGTGATGATAAATTGCGGGTTTGATTTCATAATGCAAGTAAGCAAGACCTTTCGCCATGACAAGAATTACGTTCTTACATCGAGGCCTGGACAATTGAGTCTTGTCATTAAATAGATCATCATCAAGGCTTCCATTTGAAATAAAATCACATACCAAGTATCTTCTATTGCCTTGAAATTGACTGCTCTTGACACAAAAACCATGAAGAGAAAGAAGATTTCTGTGTCTTATCTTGCTTATGATCTGTGCCTCATTGGTTAACTCGCCGTTCCCTTCTGTATCCAAGAACATGCTTGATGACAACTACAACCCATCTGAAGGTGTTCCTTTGTATACAATTCCATGCCTACCTTGTTCTATCACATTCCTTCGAGAGAATCCATTCGTGACTTGTTCTAACCCACTTATATGAAACCATTTGGCACTTGTTTTGAGCGAAATCCTTGACTTTGCAGACTTCACATAGTGTTCATGCATTATATTCTGTAGACCACGAATACCAAGAGTACAACAAAGATTCCTGCTACAACCCCCACCGCCAACCTGAAAACCAATTTTAGTACAGTTTTCGAGCTCCAGTGGTTCGATTGTTTGTCAGTAATGAGGTTGCCAAGGGCAGGCCTAGTACGCAAGCAGCAGTCCTTGGATCCTCTGGCCCGAAATCATAGACAACAGCAACAGCATAGAAGATACTTGTTGGAGTTTGACCTCACACATTTTAAGTATTTCAAAATACTATTCTTGTACTAATCTCAAGATCGGACACCATAAAGGTAAGATTAGATCAGATGAATGGTCGCCGTAATTTACAGAGACATCATGATTTATATTCACTGTCATATTGTCACACATCATCACCATCTACTATCAGCATGACACATGGCAACCATGATGTCAATTCCTAATTTTCTTAATTATAAGCAAGTAATGATTACCCAATTACAAATCATCATTACCTAATGTCATAGTTGCATCGTAGGCATCATGATAACTTACGCGGCTGACCTTAACAACCAATCAAGAAACCAGAATTTTAGGTAGTGGCACGTATTTCTAGGTCAGTACTGTAGTTGAAATGACATTGGACGGACAAGTGGTGTGATCTTCCAGCCTACAAATGACCTCCTCCTAAGCAGAGGTAAATTACTTGGCAACAAATACTCTCCATTAGTTTTTCTTCCTTTTAATGCAATTAGTTTGCACTTCCAATCTAATTCCAGCAATACTCTATACACATTTCTTTTATGTTGATCTAATCTTGTCACGTCATTTTTAGTCATCGACAATGCTGCAGTTGAAGAATTTGATTGAATTTTGATCTAAATGAAACCAGGTCTGCAACCACTTTCATTCATGCAGCTAATCACAATCTACACTGAGTCAATCCCGGTAAGTCTTCATTACATGATGAATCCAGCATACTTGATGATCCAATCTTTTGTTGTTGTAATTCCGGCACAAATTCACAAACTTACTTGTATCATTAAAGCACAAATCAAATAAGGATCGAGGCATAGACATGTTAGACAGCTTTTCTTGGAAGTTGACAATGCAAGAAGATGAATAATTTTCATTTGGGAGAGAAAACATATATGGAGCTCCCTTTGAGGTATTGGGCAAGTTCCATGCCTAAAATGCTTCGACGAGTTTGGCAGCAGCCTGTTTGAACAGGTTCATGGCAAAGGGAAGTGTCCCATCGAAAGGTTTCAGCTTAATTGAAATCAATGGGGCATGAGGAATATGCAGAATGAATGAAGAAATGGAAGAACAAGAGTCAAAAAGGAGAAACTAAGACTTGCCCTTAATGTTTACTTTGTTATTTTTTGCAAGAAAATTTGTGGG